AATCATTCCATTAATAGATGTAGAATTAAAGGAAAAGTTTTCCCACCTTCGACTCCTTAAATCCTTAAAAGCAGTTCATCAGTTTCAGTCAGAGCTACATGAGACATTACGAAAGAAAATGACTAGTCCAAATGAAAAACCTTTACAACCTTTACCCTATAAGCTGAGAGATTTGGTTTTTATTCACAGGTTTGATTCCAAGACCCTGAAACCTCATTGGAAGGGACTGGTTCCTGTTGTCCTGTCAACTCCCTTGGCGGTGAAAGTGGCTGGACATTCTGCCTGGATACATTGCAACCATCTAAAAACAAGACCCCCCACAGACATCAAGAAGGTCAAATGGAAGGTTATCAGCCAACCAGGCGACCAAAAGATTGGAGTGGGTTGGAGATGTTTCGCCTTCATGATAATGTTCTCTGGGACACTGGCAGTATTGCCCCCAAGAGGACTAGATCACACAAAAAATGTATGGATTCAATTGGCAAACTCGCTTAATTTGTCTGAATTCTGTCTAAATGTTGATGTAAATTTCCATCATGTATTGGGGACATGCCTCATGTCACAAACCTAAAAATGCTGTCAAATTATATACACCCAGGGTAATTATGTCAAATAATACCCAATGTGCTATGTATGAAAATTGTACAAGCAAATGTCTGAGGATAAAATGGTTGGAAGGGATGCCCTGCCATATAAAACAGAAAATTGTATATAAAAATTGCCATATCTCCCTGCCAATGGGATGGTTTTATACCTGTGAAGGAATAACCTTCAATTATATTCCAGCCAATTTGACCAAGACCCATTGCTGCTTGAGTCGTCTAGCTGTAGTGTTGCCAGATAGAACTGATTTGATTGTGCCTAATAGAACTAGACAATGGTCACCTTACACTGCACCAGGGTGCAATGATGATGTAGGTCTGTTAACAGATGCTGAAGTAATAACTATGATAGCATCTTTTGTTGCCCTGCCTTCTATAGGAGTCCATGCTGAAAAGGCAGTACGAAAATTAGCATGCAAGGTGGTCAAAGGGTTAAATGCTACCTCATCAGCCTTGGTATTAATTAACCAAGAGTTACAAGAACAGAGACAGGCAATCTTAGATAATAGGGCAGCGATAGACTATTTGTTGCTCTTCCACCACCAAGGTTGTGAGAAAATAAGAAATATGCGTTGTTTCAATCTTACTGACAATAGTCCAAAAATCAAAGAAAAGGTAAAACAATTGAAAGACCTGGCTCAAAGGGTACATAATGAAGATGGCTGGGACTTGTCCCAATGGCTAACTAAATGGCTGCCCAACCTACAATGGTTAAAACAACTTTTTCTCGTCGTTATAGTTGTGTGTATATGTTTACTATTGTCATGCTGTTGTATACAATGGATACCTACGTTTATATGTAAAATTACTTAAGTCCCAAGCTCTTAGGAGGCTGATACTGAGGCAGGGGGATTGTGAGTTCTAGGCCAGCCTGCCCTCACAGCAAATTCAAAGCCAACAACAAAATTCCCTCCTCAGGGGCTGGAGTGTGTAGCTCAGTAGTAGAGAGGCACAAGGCCCTGAGTTTGATTCCTAGCACAGAAAAATCTTTTTCATATGCCTATTATTCTGGTAATTGGGGTTTCACCATTCAGCAAAATAACAAATAGCTCTAATTTTGTTAAGTAATTATTAAAAATGAAATGAGGCACGGCATCCTTGTAATAAAGAAAATAACCTAGCTTCCCCTGCGCCTTTTATCTTTGCCAGCTTTTGCCACTTGCCTGACAGTCAACTATATCCAGGTACCTCACCACACCACCCCCTGACCTCAGAAGAGGAAGATAAAGTTTAAATATTAGCCACAACACTAAAGGCTCGAACTAAAGCTCTCTGACACCTTCCCCTTAATCTTTCCCCTCCCTGTACAGCTATTTTTTTTACTCTGGCAATTCTGTTACTAAAGATAATGGTTTTGCTCCATCTTGTTTCTGTGAGAACCTGTTTCTTCTCCTGGGAGCAAGGACACCCAGATGTGTTAAGTCACAAGCTGTCACTGCTTGAGGAACTGCTTTTGTTCTGCCTCTATAGTTTCTGTATAAAAGGAGTAACATAACTCCAGCTGACTGCTCAGACTTTGGAGAGTTTATCTCCTCTGAGCCTGCTAGAGGAATAAAATCTTTTGATCTCTCCATCTCTTCCAGTGCTGTCTTTCCCTGCATCTCTGGTAAATCTAAAATTGCTGTTAACAATTCTGCTTATAGTTTTCCTTTGTTTTTATAGTTTTCCTTTTTACAAATGTAAATCCTGAGAAACTTTGTACACATAAACAGATTGGAATGATATAATGTAGACAGTACAACTGGGGCTATGGGACCACTCCTCTCCACTCACCTGAACCTGGGCAGTGCCCCAGGGCCATCCTCTCTGACCCTTGCCCTAAGGGCTCCTACCCAAAGGCAGAGATAAGAATAAGAAAGATCCCTGGCTGGGTGTGGTGGTGCACCCCTGTAATCCCAGCACTTGGGAGGCTGAGGCAGGAGTACCACTAGGAGTTCTAGGCCACCGTGGGCTACATTTGAGTTCAAGGTAGCCTGGACTATGTAGAAGACCCTGTCTCAAAAAAGCGAAAAAAGAAGAGAAAAAAAATGGAAAAGATCCGGGGATGGTGGTGGTCTTATCTGGGCCCACAAATCTCCCAGCACTTGACCTTCAATGACCCCATTTAACCCTTGAGAAGGTTTAACCCAGTTCAGCCCACCCAGGAAGAGACTGTCCCTATTCTCTCTTTACAGAGAGGAGGTTACAATTTACCAAAATACAGTGAACTTTTGTCCATTTGCTCCATGGCTCAGACCAAAAGATATGTGCTACCCACACAGAAGCAAAGGATTACCGTGTACAACACTTGTAAGTGGATCTCAACTTCACAGTGAAAGAACAAACCAATCAATCTGATAAGTAGACAAATAACTGGTATCTCAGGAAGACAAAGCTCAGAGGACCAACAATTACATGACAAGATGCTCAGCCTTGGAAATCACCAGGAAATTCAGGCTTCACCAGCAGAAGATGCTTCTCAGTGTCAGTTGTCTTTGCTAATACCCTCCTGTCCCTGCATCCTCCTCGCTGTCCATCCACAATGTATGAATCAGAATGTTCAATGGCATAGATCATTCATTGCTCCCTTGTCCCCTGTCCCACATGTACCCACCTAAGCCCCAGCCGGACACCATTCTGCTCCAAGTAGCTGTGTGTAGAAGGAGAAAGGACACACTGATATAACTCCCAACCTGTTAGGTATCAAGTGTGCTGAATTTGTGGTCCCACAACATCCAGGAATGACATTGTGAACCAAAGGAAGAAGTTAGGAGAGTCTTATTGGAAATAAGAAGAGAAGAATAGTTAGTTCCTGGATCCCAAATGGGGTGACCAGTTTTCCTGGGCACAGACTCTGAGTTGCAGGATGAGAGACATTTCAATCCTGAAGAAAGTTGGGAGTTTTGATGGTTATTCTGCCCAGGGCACAATAATTGTTGCACTGAGACTCAAAAGCAAAAAGAGGACATTTTGTATGATCCAAAAGTGGCAGAAGTCACTGATGTGATTTTCACCTCAGGGAGAAGTCCCATGGCACTAGGGGAAAGGGGTAATAAAAGGAATTTGTTGTTCTTGTGACCCTAGAGCCTTAAAAGTGGGTGGGGAAATTATTTAAGGGGCTGGAACCCTCTAATCATCTAGTTATCCTCACAATAAGTAGGACACTGACATGATGGTGAGGCAGTGTGGGTCAGAGCAGCTGCTGGAGACTGTCCTCCCTCCTTTCTGGCCAATGCTCGCTGTGCTGGCAAATGTTTGGAAGAAGAAGTGGGCTGCACTGATGACTTGGTTCTGACCCGCCCCCCTGGAAGACATTCACTTTTCTAAGAATTCACAATACAGCCTGTTCTATGCCAGGCTATTTTTAGGAATTGGTATGATGAAATTCTCAGTACTGTAAACAAGGTGCACACCCTTGAGGTCACAACTTTGTTTTGTTCCATATCCCTGGCTAGATGAAGAACAGGGTCCCTAGAAAAGGAAAGAGTGTTCTTCCATAAGAGCAGTCTGTACTTGCCAGAGAATGTTCAACAAGAAGCAGCTCCTAGAGTCCAGGCACAAGCCTACTGCAGGCCAGGTCCCAGGAGTGCTGGGGCTGGTGTTGTTATTTATTTGCTCTTGGGTACATGAAGCAATAGTTCAGGGAGCCTCCTGAGGAGACTGTAGGACACTGGGTAGAGTAGCTAGTCAGGTGGCCTGTGACTGGTGTGCCCAGCAGCATATCTGCTGTGTGGCCCCTCTCTCTCTCAGCACCAGTGCACAATTGTACAGCCACGTGGTGGCCATGGGGCGTGGGCATGACAGTCTGCAGAAACCAGGGTGGGGGCAGCTCAGGCTGGCTATGTGACTGGGAAAGCTGCTCACTTTTCTGTGCTCCCTCACCCCATCTCCAAGCTGAGGATGGTGGCTACAAAATCCACCCTCTAGCCCTCTGCAAGATTCTAAATTATAAATGTAGACCATTTGAGCTGGGCATCATGGTACACACTTGTAATCCCAGCACTCAGGAGGCTGAGACAGGAGAATTGCTGCAAGTTCAAGGCCAACTTGGGCTGTGTAGTAAGTTCAAGGCCAGCCTGAACTACACATTGAGACCTCCTCTCAAAAGAAAACCCAAAACCAAAACAAAACATAAATGTAGCGCTTGACAAATTACATCACCTTGTGAGTGATATTTCTATCCAAAGCTTCTTTTCCATGCTGTCACCTCTTGTATCATAATAACCTACAAGGGAAGGGACAGGCATCCTTTCCTTCTTTTATGGAGGGGGGCGAGTAGAGGTTCTGAACACAGACTCTTCTGGCTCTATGGCCTGATCTCACTCATATCACATCATCAAGAAGAAAAGAAAAGGAAAGGGAAGGAAAAGACAAAACAAGACAAGGAAGGCTGGGTGTGGTGGCATACACCTGTAATCCCAGCACTGGAGAGGCTGAGTCAGGAAGATTGCCATAAGTTTGAGGCCATCCTGGGCTTCATAGTGAGTTCAAGGCCAACCTAAACTACATTGTGTGATCTTGTCTCAAAAAAAAAAAAAAAAACTAACAAAAAACAAAAATAGAAAGAAAAAAGAAAAGAAAAGAAAAATAACAGAATCAGCGATCAGCTGAAGGGGCCCACACAGTAGTACAACTGAAGTGACCCAGGCAATATCAGTATGGAAAACCTGTGTGGTCCCTGGCTGGGAGGGTGGCTGTGTCAGTCCCACCAGAAGACTGATGGTGACAGGACAAAGAGGACAAAGCACTAACCTAGAGCCTGGCTGGCAAGACAGAGTGTTGATCTTACAACAGCTCAGCCATCACACAATTGCTTCACACCTGGGGTGGAAGAGCTCCTCCCCAGAGCGTGGAGACACTGTCCCTGACGGCTCCACCCTTGCTCAACCAAGCCTTCTGCTGGATCAGAAAAGAATGATGAAGCTCTTTTAGGGCGCTCTGGAGAGGGCGCAGGTCAGCTTTGCAGGGAGGCCACAATGCCCAGTTACCCAACCTGAGAACAGGGAAGAGCTGAAGCTGCTAGGAGCGAGGCTGGCTCAGGTGACTGAAGGAGGCCCTGCTATTTGCCAACTGATGAATGTAGGACAAGGAGCGACTTCAAGGAAAGTTGGACAGGGGTGGGCAATGTTGCTTGGGGCTCCTTTGCTGGAGGTTACTGTGGAGAGTACCGAAGTGCAGGCTGGACACAGACTGAGAAATCATGAGGGCAGAATAGGGATGTTTTATAAACCTGCTGGGAGAAGCCACTGGTAAGGGACAGGCATCTGCTGCTTCCTCCTGCAAGGCAGCTCTGGGCACCCAACTTGCCACAGTCTGCCCCCAGCACCTGGAGTTAGCAGCAAATGCCATAGCCCATCCTGGAGGCTGTGACACATGCCCTCTGTGCCCTCCCTGCTGCTCCCTGGCCATGTGAGCTGGGAGGCCAAGAAGTCCCATGCTGGGTACCTTTTCTTCTTTCTCTCCTCCTCCTCCTCCTCCTCCTCCTCCTCCTCCTCCTCCTTTTTTGATTTGCCTGGAAAAGTTGATGAAAATGCAATATTTATGATTCGTC